TAGGGTTAGGGCTGGGGGTCAGGCTAGGACAGCCCTGTCTCATCAGCTTGGCCTAGACTTGCCAAGTCGCAGCCGCAGGCCACTTACAGCACCGTAGTCACGGTCTGCTTCTGGTCTGTGCCGTCTGGGTCCTCTCGTCCTTCCTACAATCTGGAAAGGCCCTAATTCTTTTTTTTTTAGAGTTTTTCTGTTTTTGTTTTTATGCTATAGGGCACATGTACTCGCCAGAAAGAAACAGAGAGACAGAAAGCGAGAAATCACACCCCAGAGGGGATGGCCACGCCGCAATCCCTTCTCCCCTATTCTTCTCTTGGGATCTTGGGCACACACGCACACGTGCCCGGTGTGAGTTTAAGCCACGGGATCTGGGACTCGAATCGCAATCGACTACCTGGGAGTCCAGCGACACAGCCATTACGCCAACTGCTGGTCCCAGCCGTAATTCTTATCCCCGTTTTATAGATGAGAAAATTGAGGCCCTAAGAGGGCCAGGAATACCGGCCAAGCTCTCCAGCTAGTCAGTGTCCAGGTTGGGGCTTCCAGCTCCACCCTGAGGTCAGAACCTGTGTTGCCACTGCAGCACCCAGGCCCAGGGGAACTTGGTTCCAAACCTCACCTGGTTCTTGGGCTCTGCCTGGGTCTCTGGGAAGTGGCAGCCTCGCCTTCATGCCCACACCTTTCTGTTCCGAGTGGGGAGGTACCGCACAAGCACCGCCAAGCCAAGGCCCCGCCCCGTACTCCTCTCCCCTCAGCTCTGGCTGCATAGCCATGTTAGCCCAGCGCTGCCACCTGGAGAGCCCAGCTCCATTCGGCCTCCTCCTCCTGGTGCAGGAGTGCAGGAAGTGGCCCTGAGGGGGCGTGGCCTCCCTTTGCTGAGCATGCATTTGTCTCCAATTGCCTTGACTCTGAAGGGTCAGGGTCTCTGCCCAGCAGACTTGTTCGAGCCAGGGCTCGGCCCAGTTATCTCTACAAGCCCAGGCCTACCCAGTCATTTGCTGAGTGACTGCATGGTGGGTCTGGCACTCAGCCGGTGCACACCGATGGCACAGCGGCCGGTCCTGATTGTGCGATCCGGTACAACCCCCTTGTGGACCCACGTTGAGTGTCGCCCCACCTGTGACTTTGATGAGCTATTTCACCTTCCCTACCTCAGTTTCCTCATTCCCCAAATTGAGACTGAGATCTGCCGTGCTCCATGGAGCCACTAAATGTGCAAGAACTTCAGATGTCCGTGGGGCTGTGCATGACACAGGCCAGAGGTCACAGCAGGGCTAATCAGGGCTATGCCCAAGGCCTGCAGCTCGAGGGCCCAAATGAGGATGCCTGAAGCTGGTTTGGTGTCTGTGGTAAGACTGTGCTGGGCTGTCACGGCCCCTGTCCAGGACCGTGAGATTAGGGGCCACGGGCAACCTGGGCTCTGAGTGCAGAGGCTGCGTCCCAGCCTGGCCCCGCTGCTGCGTGACCCAGCTCAGGTGTGGCTGGGAGGCTGCAGAGGAAGAGACAGTCGGGCCCCGTGCACGTGCCGTTTATCCCGTGATCACCCTTGGAGGCAGGTCAGCATCCCCATTTTACAGATGAGGAAACTGAGACTCCGAGGTGCAAAGTCACCCCGGAAGACTGAACCTCCTTTTATCCCTTTGCCCAAATACAATGCAGCCCCCCGAACTCTGAGTTCAGAGGGGAAAAAATGTCCAGAGAGCAAAGAGCCCAGAACGGATTTATTTTTCTTTAGGTAAAACTTTTTATAGACTACATTACAGTCAAGAGTTCTCAGCTTTCACCAAAAAGTCGGAAGTTATTGCAGTTGTGCCCAGAGGATGTGATGGTGGATAGGAAACTTCTAGAAAGCTGCCTGTGTTCAGAGAAGGGCTCATTGATGTTGAAAGTCATGGGGGCCCACCCGGCAGAGGCGTTCCAGGGCGGGGATGAGAGCAAAAGGAAAGGAGCATGGGGGTGGTGACAGGGTGGCCTGGACTGGGGCGGCTGGAGGCCATCTCCCTACCGGAAGCAGCATCTGGACCATCTGGCCAGGACCTGCAAGGGGGCAGCAGAGCCCAGACCACAGCATGCCTGAGGGCCCGGCGGCCCCTCCCGCAGCACCTCAGCCCCGCCGCAGGGCCTGCAGCTGCTGGGCCACCTTCTCCAGCTCTGCCTCGATGGCCGACAGGCTCTCCAGCTCCTGGTCCTAGGAGAGAACGTCGAGGGTCACTTGGGGCTGGCCCCGGGAGCCCAGAGACACGGCCTGTGCTGTGCAGGAATGTAGGGTCAGCTAGGCTGGCTAGGCTAGCTGTGTGTCCCTGCATAGGTGGCTTTGCCTCTCTGAGCCTCAGGGACAATGCCAGTGCCCTGCTGGGCTGCTCTAAGGATTATGGTGCATGAAGCAGGGGACCTGCCCCAGTGTCCCTGGTGGCCCCTTATTCAGACCCCACTTCTCAATGGTTCTAGGCAGGCAGGACTCTGCTCTCAGGACATGGGGAAGCTTCTGGTGCCTGTAGGTGAGGGCCCCTGGGGTGAGGCCGGGCCTGAGTTTCCAGATCTGTCTTCTGCAGTGAGGGGACCATAGGGACTGTGGCACAGGCTCAGTGCTGTGAGAGCCACCCCACTTCCACTTGTTTCGGTCCTGATCATGGGGTGACCCCGAGCTCCTGCTGCCAGGCTGGAGCAAGGGAGCAGAGGCCCCAAGCCTGATTCTGTGCCCAGTCTCCAAAATGTTCCAGGCCTCGGGTTGTGGGACACTCACAGTAGCATCCCAGGGCAGGAGCTGGGAAAGGCCACTTTCCTGGCTTGACCTGGGTCAGGTTTTGTCCTGGAGTCCCTGCCGAATTCGAGGCTACTGAAGGCACCTGCAGCCCAAGGGCCACACATACAGCCGCACCTGGCCCCGGTGCTCACAGAGGCCCACAGTGGCTGCCATGGAAGTAAGGGCCCCACAGTCTCCTTGCTGGTATCACCCCTGGGGCACAAGTTCTGACACTGGGGTTTCTCAGAAGAACCTGGGCCCCTCCCTGGCCACAGGACCTGGGGTCCCCACTTCTCCATCTGACTATGGAAGCTGGCAGGAGCTGCTGAGTACCTCACTCTCCAGCCTCTGTGGGAGGGGAAGGGGGGCTTCAGGTGCCGGCCTTGTTCTGGGTGCAAAAGCTGCTGCTCCCTGTAGCCCATTCCCCTCAGTCTCCTGGCGACATGGCAGATGCCCCTCCCAACTCCAGCTGCCAACAAGGCTGATCCCAGACCCGAATAGGGGCCCGAAGAAGGGCCTCATCTCTTCTGAAAGGTGGCAGGAGAGCCTAGGTCAGTGCCCCTGTGGAACCCCATTTCCACCTGAGCCCTGAGGCTGGGACCAGGTGCCCCCAGGACCCCCTGCAGCTCTAAGGCAGTGCCGCCTACTTCCAGGGAAGCCTTCTCCGTCCTGTGGGGCAGCATCTCTGCACCCCCTTCAGCTTCTGAGGTGGCCCTGGCATGGCTGAGTTGTCGAAGCTCACATGTGTTCTAACTTCGATGATGTGGTGAGCAGAAAGGACCCCTTAGCCACATTTCACAAATGGGGAGCCCTGAGGATGCTCACAGAAGGGGAGTGACCAACCCAAGGTCACACAGCTGGGAAGAGGCAGTGCCCAGCTTTTCTGGCACCCCCAGGCCTCTTCCACCAGCTCCCAGGTCCAGTTGGCCCTGTCCATCCCTCGGCTGTGGTGAGCTGGACGCAGGGCCTGATCTCACGGGCAGGTGTCCTGACCTGCCTGCGGGCTGGGAGAGGGCATGGCCAGAGCAACCACAGGGTCTTCCCAGGGCACAGCTTGTCTTCTGGTGTCCCCGCCTTCCAGGCCCTCCCAGCGCTCAGGGCCCTAGTGTCTGGGCCTGGATCCTCCAGGCAGCCCAGGTCCTCTGACACCTTGCCAGGTTCTTTCGGCTCCAAGCTCTCCCCTCCAGACCTAGCACCCTTCACTCGTACATCTGCTCACACCTCTCTGGCTGCACAGGTTCATCCGAACACCTCCTGGCCACAGCCACTCACCCCTGCCTGCCTGACCGGCCGCACTGATGCCTGCTGTGAGCAGGTGCTCTTCCCAGCCCTGAGAGCGCATCTCAGCACCTCTCCAGTCAGTCCCAGACTCCAGGGCAACTGCATCCCTCAGGGGAGCACGGGCTGCATGTCTGGGTGCAGCTGCCTCTCAGCTGGGTTGCACCCCCAGGGCCTGGCCCAGGGCTGGCTCCTGCCAGTACCAACCTCTGGTCTGCGGTTGGCGCTGCCCTCCTCCTCCTTCTTCTCCTCGGGGTAGCTGCGGACCTGGAGGGGCAGGCCTGCCTCTATGCTGTCCTCCTGGGAGGACGGCCTCCAGCCTCGTCGCAGCTGATGCCTGGGGCCACGGAAGCCATAGGCGCGGCTCTGGAAGGAGAGCTTCATGGAGCGGTCAGGGTCATCGTCCTCCTCCCCTTCTAGCCTCTTCTCGGCTGCCAGCTCCTTGGCCAGCTGGTCCATCTTGCTCCATCGCTTGGCATCTTCCCACTCCTTGGAGAGCTGCTCCTCCTCCTCTCCCTCCTGCCGCTTCAGCTCTGCTCGCGGCCTCCCCGCGACCTCCTGCTGCAGGGCGTGCTCCCTCTCCCTCTTCCCCTCAGGGGACTGAGCCTCCTCGGCCCCTATCTTCACCACGCTGTCCACGGCCAGGACCTCAGATGGACCTGGAGCAGGTGGACAAGAGTAGGACAGTGAGGAGGGACTGCTGTTTCCCTGGTCTCTGCCATGCCCCGGGGCCACAACTGTGGCCCTCCTTGGGGCTGCAGCCCCTCCTCTCAAGCCCAATTTGCCTCTCTACTGCAAGGGTAAGGCCCTCTTGATGCTTTGCAAGACCCGCTCAGCGCTCGGAGGGACGGGTTGGCCAAAACCCACCCCTCCCTCCAGTCCTTTTACCCCAGAAGCCCCTGACCTAAGTGGGTTACCTGCCTTGGGTTTTGTTTTTTGTTTCAAGGTTTTTGCCATAGGGTGAAAGACAGAGACAATGAGTGAGAAAATACCCCCAAAGGGCAATGGCCAAGCCACAATCCCTCTTCCTCCATTCCCCTCCTGGGATTTTGGGCACACACACACACACACACACACACACACACACACATGTGCCCAGCATGATTTTCAAGCTACCAGGTCCAGGACTCGAACCTCAATTGGCCATATTGGAATCCACCATGCCCCCTCCTGGTCTCGGAACTTCAGCTTTTAATACTAATCAGCTGTGTTACCTTGGGCGAATTATTTAACCTCTCTGAGCTTCCATTGCCCGTCTGGAAAATGGAGACACCCACCTACCTTTGCAGGTTGTCCTGAGGGGGAAATGAGATTCTGGATGAGGTTCCCCTCCCTCCGTCCCCCTCTGACACGTTCGCTGAGGTCTCTGTCATACATACCCTCGTCTTTCTGGCTCTCCTTGTAACTGAGGCTCGGGTGGGGCTGGGATGTTGTGGTGGGGCCTTCGTCCTCGGGGACAACCTTCTCCCTAGCCTCCGCCTCCGTTTCCTCCTCCTCCTCTTGTCTCTTCTCCTGCTGCTCCTGCCCGGCACTCAGGCCCTTCTCGCTGTCCACCAGAACCTGAGAGAGTCCCTCGCTGTCTTCCTCGGCCTGTGTGCCGGTGGGTCTCTGGCTGGAGAAGTGGGCTGGGATGTGGGGGTGGGTGTCCGCCTCCGGGAGGCCTTGGGGGTAAGCCTCGGTCGTGGACTCCTGCCCGAGCTCCAGGGAGTGGGGTCGGGCTTCTGTGACCTCAGCACTCTCCTCCGCCTCATTCGAATCTGCTCTCTTCTCTGTGGTCTCCGCGGAGGGTGCCTCTTCCATCATCTCTGCAAAACAGAGCGGAGTCAGGCCCAGGACCGGGCTGCAGGGGGCCTCCCCGGAGACCAGTGCAGAGCTCAGTCAGTGTGGCTCTTGGCTTCCAGCACGCCCAGCCGAGACAACGATCGGGTCAGGCTGGAGGGGGGTGCAACAGGGCTGTGCCTCATTCTTTCCGACTCTGCCTCTAAGAACAGACTGTGATAAACCGACAAACCGACAAACCAGCAAAACCCAGCAGACCTTGAAAGTGACCTCAGAAGATAGAGACCTGAACAGAAAATTAGGACATCCGCTGAATTGCCGTGTGATCTTGGGCAAGTCACTTAATCTCTCTGTGTCAGGAGCACCATTGCTACAGCTTCATTCTCCCCTCCACGAGAGCTTTCTCTGTCTTCAGCATCCCGTGGAAGAGCTCAGTTACTCAGTATTTGTAGGGTGTTAAAAGTATTACCTGTGGCCGCCTTAAAGACAGCCTTTTAAGTAGTAAAATGCCCCCCATCACTAGAACGGCTACCATTTGAACAAAGCACTACCAAATACCGCCTACCAGCTGAGCTTCACCAGGACTCACTCCGGGTGAAAGGGCTCCATGCCCATTTTGCAGAAACTCAAAGGGGACCTGACTTTGCTCCTGGAGTCTGAATGCGGCAGAGCTCAACCTCGAACCCAAGCCAGGGTCAGGGCGTCTTTGCACTGACATATGGTTGGCCTCCCATTAAAACTTGCAGGCAGACATGGATGCTCTCACACAGGCCACGCTACCCCTCTCTGTGGCCCGTGGCAGGCATCCATAATCAATTCAGGCTGGTTCCATGGAGCCACAAGCACCACTAGTGAGAGCCTTGGCCAATGTGAGGGTGCCGCCTTCCCACCCTAGCTGCACCTACAGCCCCAGATGGAAGACTGCTGAGACCCCGGCTCCTGGAACCTGGCTTCACCACCAACCTCCCACGTGACAAGAAAGAGCAGGCACCGTGGAGGCCGTGCGGCTCTTCCTGGGCAGGAGGGTAGATGATGGCACCACACCCCGCTGAGACCTACCTAAGCCCTGATCTCTTTGACCCCTAAAAGCGCTTTGGTTTCAAGAAAGATGATCCAGGTTCATTTGGCATCTCAAACCTACTCCTTGGGAATTCTCCCACAACTTGGCTATTCTAAGGCACTACCAAGTCGCAGGAGGGCAGGCCCCAGGGTGGGCCTCTGCTACAGTGGCCTCTGGGTGGACCTAGGGTCAGAGCTGCCCACTCGCCAGCCAGGCTTCAGCCTCCAGGCCCAGCCCCTGTGGTGGGCAGGTGGGGCTGATCAAAGGCTCAGATGCCAGGTCATGCTGCTCACTTAAGATTAAGCAGGAGCTTAATCTCTCTGGGCCTCAGTTTCCCCCTTTGAAAGAAGAGCTAGCAATATGTTCAAAGATTTAAAGGAGGGGCTCCTGACACTGTCCTCGTGGTCACCCACCCTCCCTCCACTGTCCAAACCAGCTGGCACGGACCTTTCTGCTTGGCTGGGCTGCTCTGGTTCTCCAGAACCTCTGAGAGTTCTTCCTCAAAGCTGCTGTGTTTCTTCTGCTGGGCCCTCTCCTTGGCACCTGGAATGAGCAGAGGAGGAAATCGTCGGGGCCGGCAGGTGGCATGGAGATTAAGGTGCTGGATACCCACATGGCCAACCACAGTTCATGCCTGGACCTGAGGACTTGAAAGTTATGCTGGGCGCGTGTACATGCATGTTCAAATCCCAGGAGGAGAATAAAGAAGGCCATCCCCTCAGGGGATGATTTCTCACTTTCCCTCTCTCAGTCTCTCTCACTTTCTCTGGCAAGTGTACGTGCCCTGCGGCAAACCCCACCCCATCCCACCCTCCAAAAAAGAAGAATGAGGAGAAGAAGAAGGAAGAAGGAAACAGTCCCATTTGGCCTCTTCTCCCTGCATGGCCCTCCACCCCCACAGCTGCCACCCTCTCTGATGGTCCTCATGCCTGCACCTGGGTCCTGATGCCAACTCCCAGCCAAGCTAACCCTGCAGCTGGAGATGATGTTTTCCCCAAGATGGAAATTTCTGGAGTGGCTGTGGGGCAACTCTGGCCTCAGATGTAGGTTCCAATCCTCCCCAGGTTATTGCTTACTCTGTGACCGTGGGAAATTTGACTCTCCAAGATCTGGCTGCTCTCTATAAAACTGGGTCCTGCAAGGTGGACGCTGAGACAGAGGTAGACAGAGGACAACACATTCGTCCACGCGGGAGTAGATGGGACGCCTAGTACTCCGTTAGAAACCATCATACGTGTGCATATTGGAAACAGTTTATCTTTTTTAAATTATTTCATTTAACTTTATTATTATTATTTTCCAGTTTGATCAGAGAGAGACAGAGAAAGAGAGAGGAGGAAAGTGAGAAAGTAAGCCACCAGGTCTGGGACTTGAACCGCAGTAACCATGTGGAAGGCCAGCCCTTTTAACCACCACACCACCTGCCGGCCCCAAGGAAACAGTTTATCTTTTTTAAATTATTTCATTTAACTTTATTATTATTATTTTGCTATAGGGCATGTGTGCTCTCCAGAGAGAGACAGAGGGAAAGTGAGAAATCAACCTCCCTGCCCAGAGCAATGGCCACCCCACAGTCCCTTCTCCTTTCAGGATCTTGGGTTTGCAGACACATACATGCATGCGCAGTAAGATTTTCAAGCTGCCGGGTCTGGCCCTCAAACCGCAACCCATGTGGGATCTTGCACCTTAACCTCCACACTACCCACTGGCCCTGGATACTGTTAATATTTACATGCATGTGTGTCTAAGATGCTTCAGGACTTATTTCTCTACAATAGTTTCTGTTGACATTATGTTTAATTATTTAAAAGCAATTGATGTGTTATTTAATATTTCATTTTAAAATGATAATAAAGCACTTAATGCTTAGTTAAAAAAACCCACAAACCCAGGGTCAGTGATGACAGAGTTACTGAGAAGGATGAGAAGAGTCTCAGCCACACAGCACCTCCTCCGTGCCAGGTACTTATTCCCTCCTTGTCGTGAGGGGACTTTGCTGCACAGGCTGCCCAGTGAGTGAGGAAAAGTGACACCTTGCAAAGGGCCGTGGGGCTCCTACTGCTATGGTGGTTTCCACTCGCCACCTCCTCAAATCTCCCCCCATTCTCACACATGGCCTGGTCTGCCCCAGAGCCTCGAGTGGGGGCCTTCTGGGAGCCAGAGCAGCTTTCATGCCCCACCCCACCCCAAGCACAAGCCCAGCCCTGAAGATGGGCCCAAACTTCATTTGGAAGCAGGTCTGAGATTCATGCTTCGAAGGCCATTCCCTCTCCTCAGGGAGAGGCACAGGCCCCAGGGAACGGTCCGGCTCCTGTAAATGGCCACTTCCGGCAGAGAGTCAGCTATGGCAGGTGCGGGGCCAGAACTCTACACTTTCTGACTTTCCAGGGCTGGGCAGAGGTGTAACTGCGGGGTGACAGCAGCCTAACCCTGTGTCCCAGCATCTTGTCCAGGTTCTACTTTAATACCCTCAGTGATGAGGAGCTCACCACCTTACAAAGTCACTGCATTCTCAAGAGCATTGGTGGATTTCCCTAATCTCGTAGAGAGACCCACCTCACTGAAGCCCACTGGAAGTCTGGGATGTGTCTGGGACATGCAGAACCTGCGGGGAAAGGCCCCCTCCTCTCAGAGCTGTGATCAACTTCCTTTTCAATGTACAAAGGAAAGGGATCTTCTCCACATTCTAGTCTTAAAAGTGCCCTCCCTGGAATGGCTGAACCCCAGAGACTGTGGGGTATTAGGAAAGCGGGGTCTGGTCTTGGCCTTGAACTGAGTCACTCAACATTTCTTGATCTCTTTACCAACAGCCCTAGCAGATCGAGCCAGGTAGCCCGGAGAACCTCGACTTTCTGCTCCATAATTGGAAAGAAACCGCCGAGTACCGGAGAGAACCTCCTTGCACCTTCTACCCTGATTTTCCATCTCGGTTATTGGCGTGCACCCAGCGCCATTGGCGCTGCCTAGAAAATACCTTGGAGAGCAAGGTCCTGAAGCTCCTTCAGTAAATTCTGATGCCGCAGGATGGAAAGGATCCTCTCATCTGCAATGAAGGAGAGCCGTTACGGGTGGTTTCTAGAGAGCGGTGGAGGAAGGTCCCACCAATACTCCAACTGAACATAAGGTATTTTCTTGCAAACTCCAAACCAGGGTGGCAGCTGTGAGACTGGCTCTGGAGATGACATCTGGAGTGACTCCTTTCCAATGTGTCAGTAGGTTCTCTGTGACATGGGAAAGGCCAGCCACTGCTCCAAGGCCAGCCCTCAGCCAAGGGGTCCTGAGGATGAGTGGGGGTCTCTATACGCAACACACTGTCCCCTCTTCATGCCTTTGCTCCTGCTGGCCACTCCACCTGGAGTGCCCTTTCTTCACTCTCTACCTAACAGTTTCTGAAGTGTCTATTAAAGCCTGACCCCTGGGCCAGCAGGTAGTGTGGTGGTTAAGGTGCTGGATTCCCAAATGGCTGGCTGCGGTTTGAGTCCTGGACATGGCGGCTTGAAAATCACATTGGGTAGGTACGCATTCCCAAAAGGGATGGGGAATGGAAGAGAAGGAATGGTAGCCTGGCCATCGCCCCTCCCTGGGGGTGATTTCTCACTTTTCCTCTTACTGTCTTTTTGCCTCTCTGTTGAGCGTACACACCCTATGGGGGGAAAATGCTACTGGAGCCACCCAACCTTGACTGCATGGGCCTCCTTCCATCCACTCACTGCCCTCCTTTTTGTTCATCTCCTATCGATAGGGTATATACCAGGTGCCTGGGGCTGTCCTAGGCACGGGGACACAAAATCTTTGTCCAGAGGGAGCTCGCGGCCTGGTCGCTTGCTGCCCCCACCCTACCGTCGTTCACCTGGGATCCTCGTTCACTGCATTCACAGACTTCCCCTCCACTAGTCTATAAACTCCAGGAGCCCAGGGGCTGTGGCCTGTTCCTCTCCTTCCTCAGCCTCAGCTAGCACCTGGCCAAGGTGGACACTTGGTCAGTGAATGAATGAATGGATGAAATCGTTCATTCCGTCAGAAGCCACACCCCCATTCCCTAGCCTCCCAGCCCAGCAGGCGGCCGCCCACACCCACGTCTCTGGCCCATACCTCCTCGGAGTGTCTCGAAACACTCCTGGCTGACGGGCATGGGGCTGGGCTTGGAAAGCGTGTCCGAGATGACCTCGACGATGCACTTCATCACCTGGGAAGAGAGTGTGGGGAAGGTTGGCGCTGGTTTGGGCAGCAGGCTTAGCCCCCAGAAGGGGAATTTCTAGGGAAAATTCCTAATGAGGACACAAGGGCATTCGCGTTTGTCTTTAGGAGTCTGTGGCTGGCTGGTCAGGGGCAAGCTCTGCTTTCTTAGCCAGACACAGCAGCAGCGAATGTCAAAACCCTTACGTGGGTTTGGCGCTCCATTCACAAGACCAGCCGGTGCCTGTCTGAGGTAGATCATGGTGAGCATGAGGTCCGGCTGGGGGCAGGGGGAGCACTTGCCGTCTTCTCACCCCAAGGGTTTCTCTAAAGATGAAGATGCTGCTTCTGGGCATTAGAAGAAGGTCCTGCAGAAGTGCTTTGTATCGAAGATGCCCAAAAGGAGAACAAGACTCTCCCTGAATCTATCCTATCTAGAAGCAGGGCCGGATCACTGTCCCCCAATCTCCATGGTGCTGTCACATTCAGGGAGTGGCGGCCTCTCAGCCTGGCTCCATACTGACCCACGGGATGAATCCCTTGGCTGGGTGTGGGTGCAGATCACCCACATCTGGTGCCCGGCCCAGACCTCCCCAGTGCCCAGCAAGGCCTTGGTGGTACCTCAGCCCCCAGCCAATGGCTGACCTTTGCTGGGTGCTAACTGTAACATGGTACCTGGGTGTGTAACCTTGGGTGAGCAACTTAACCCCCAAGCCTCCATTTCCTCATTTGTAAGATGGAGTGAACTACCTCCCTAATTGCCCTCCCAGGGTAATGAGGCACGTGTAGAAAGACACTCTATAAACCTGAAATGTCACACACACCCAGGGATGGATCACAACTCCAGACCTGCTCCAACGCCTGGAGCCGAGCGAAGGAGCAGGAGGTGTCAGACACGCGTCAGGCAACTCTGGCAGGAGTGAGGGGGTGGAAGGCTCTATCTGTGGATGCCAAGGCAGCTGGTTCAAGGATCTGGGACAGCAAACTGGCAAACCCTCTTCGGTGTGTGTGTAGTCACAACCGCCTCAGATGGAACATTCAGGTCTTAACTGGCGTCCTGGCCCCAGACTGCTGGGCACAATATGGTGACCTGAGTGTCTCCCATATGGGACCTGGCAAGAAGGCCCAGCAACCTGTGCCCGGTCTCGCCCTGCAATCCGAGACTTTGCGCTAGAAATATCAGATCACCGCCAGTCTGTCTGCAGATTCTGGGAGACAGAGATAGGGGAGAGGTCCCAAAAAAGAAGAGCAGACCAAGAAAGGAAGGAGCTCCAGGAATAACGTGAGGGCCCACTCTGTGCCAATCACTTCACATTCATGATTCCTACCATGGAAGGGAAAGACTAGGAAGCTCAGTGAAGCTAAAGTTCGCACAGCTTGATTGAGTGGTAGAGGGGCCAGCAGGTGGTGTGGTGGTTAAGGCGCTGGACTCTCACATGGCCAACCACAGTTCAAGTCCTGGACCTGGTGGCTTGCTTTTTCACCTTCCCTCTCTTTATCTCTCCCTCTCTCTCTCTCTCTCTCTCTGTGGTGAGTACATGTACCCTGTAGCAAAACTTTAAATAATAATAGTAGTAATAAATAAATCATTTTAAAAGTAAGTAAGATGAGTGTCAGTGCTTTAAAATATGGCCCAGCTGCAACTACGATGCAGGAAAGATCCCATAATCAATCAAGCAAACTGAGGCTCAAATCGCCAGGATGGATACTGGGCCTGGGTTTTAAGCCATGGGAAAGGGGGGAGGGGAGTAGAAACGCCCCTGGCCCTGAAGTGGAGGCACATGTGTACACCATCAGTGCGCTCCAAGCACATGCCCAATGGGGAGCGTCTCTTGCTGCCAGGGTCTCTAAGACCTTCCTGGGTGACCTGCACCTTCAGCCCCGGTTGGCTGGACCCCTGAGTTCAGGACCATGGGCAAGGATGTTCTCACCGAGGCTCTTCGGGGGGAACTAGGGCTTTCGTACTTGTGGGGTGGCGGTTGCTGCTGGGAGAGCCTGGGAGGGAGGAGTAGAGGTGGAGACCAGAGTCCCTGTCCCAGGTCTATGGACAGCCACAGCCCCAAGAGCTGCCCTACCAGCCCACAGTGGGCCTACTGGATTCAGAGTGTTCAGACATTGACCTGCACCTCGGCCTGGCTGGTGAGACACGGGTCCTTTAGGGCTGCTCAGGGAGCTTGAAGGAAGCTGGGGAAGCCCCACAGCGGGATAGTGGGGAAAGCAAGCCATCTTTGATGTGTTCTCTTGCAAGCTGTCCCCAGGCTCAGCAGCCGCAGTGCTGGCTCTTGGCTTTATGCCAAAGTCACTCCTGCAGCTGCCCAAGAACCGGCTGTGAGGGTCTCCTACCCCCTATATGGGGCATCCCAGAACCCCTTCTTACCTCAGTGTCCCCTTTATTCAATGGGCTGTTCACAGGGAGGGCAGTGACTGGAAGAAAACAAGAGCACAGGGTTACTTCTCTGCTCTGAGGGGAGCCCAGGCCTCCTGACTGAGTTCGGTGGGGGCCCATCCACCCAATGCTCCCCCTCATCAGTGTCCCCAGATGAGAGCTGTGGCTGGTTCTATTTCCCTTCCTGGCTGCTGCCCCCAGGGGGTGGCCCCCAGAGGCTGTGCTGGGAAGCTTTACCCTTCCCTTTGGGGAAGCTCCTGCTCTGGAGGGGTGTGCAAGCTGATGGCAAGTGCTATGAAAACAAGGCCAGGCTGCAGTGGCATTGGGGTGGGGGCAGGCGCAGAGGGAGGGACCCCTGAGTGGGGGAAGAGGGGTTGTGAGGCGATATGTGGGGACAGAAGTCAGGGCAGAGACGACTACAGACGGAAAAGGAAGGGAGGCGGGAGGGAGCGAGCGGCGGTCCTCCCATCTCTTCCCAATGACCTTGGCCGGCCACAGCGGCCCGAGCAGGCGCTGCCCTGATGCAGCCGAGGACCCGAGCCCAGAATAGGAGAG